TTCCCAGGCGAGCAAGTAGCTCGTGCGGGCGCGGTTTGACGTGCTTGCGCTAGACATTTTCTCGGCGTTTCGAACCGGCGAACAGTAGACGCCATAGAAACGATACGGAATTCAGCCGCGCCATGAACTTCCCGGATTTTATAACTCATTTGTGTTGACAGAAATCCATCAAATACTAACTTAAGACGTATTGTTGAGTTTGTTTACTGAAGAATGTTTATCTACTTGTGAAAAAATTGATGTTGCATTTAAAAAGAAAAATTAGTCCAATATCTTTAAAATTTAAAATATGCTATCAAAATTACAGTTGACGAGCTCTTGTGTCCCGAATCTTTTGGTGAAGATACCATTGTAATATCTTAAACAGTTTATAGAACATTCAATTATATTTTCAGAAACATGTTTACATTGAGTAGTGATTCCATTTCTCCAGAAGTTATCAATCTCCGACGTTTTAGTCTGAAAAAAAAAGTACTGAATGACATAAAACAATATAATTCTTGATTTTCCGAATGGTGCATTTGCAGAACTTTTAAATTTAAAAAATGATACGGTTGTAACTTATCTACAACTATTTCTTCTGTGCGACATTTCAAAGAAACTGATAGAAACTGCAGTGACCATTCCTCTCGTGAAATTAAAACCAATAGTGCTTAAAACTGCATACGGTAATAACTAATCACAGCAGTTATTCACAAAAAAGTATCAGTTTTCTTTACCATAGGTAATACCACGATTGTTTTGGAAATTGCCAATAAATCCACGACTCACGAAGTATGGAGGGGATTTATCTGAGAATTTCCAAAGCACGAGTGGTATTTAATAGGACTATTCCACGTGTGAAATTATGTCCAACAGAGTTCCAAAATGCGCCAAATATTGAAAATAACTGAAAGCTATGTTAAAATCAAAGAGGATATGCTATAGTATATCCGCAGTTTATTGCGTATCTACACTGTGATCAATACATACCGCCTCAATTTTGGTGAATATCCTGCTTGATGTTTAGTTTTGTCATAAAACTTACAAGCAAATATATTTTCGAATAATCATTCAAACAAATGAAATTTGTAGGGACATGTGCAGGTCATCTGTCCCTGGTTGTATCATGAGAATCTGTGCATGGTTTCTTGAGACCTGATGTCTCTAGACTTCCTCACATACATACGAAATTGAATACAGACTGCAACAAGTGTTTTTAGCAAGAATTGTAATGAAAATATTCACTCTTGTATACTAAAAAATATTTGCAAAGGCAAATGAGCTACAGATTAGGGCTCATCATGTGCTTCATGACAGAATTGACTTATTGCTATGGGAACGTGGAGAATAATGACTTGAATTCACCATTGAGCTCAAGAAAATGTGCCCAGACAGTGAAGCTATATTTAAGTCCAGAAGCAAAGCAAGAGGCTATCTCAGCATTTATTCAGGGAAGTCAGGGAAACTGGACAAAGAATCTGATTGGGATAGGGGTTAATGATTCAGAAGCTGAAGTGTAATAAGTCTTATAGGCATAAGAAGTTGTTTAGAATTCATTAGTTTGAATGATAACTAATAAATTATATTATATCATTGTTAAATCAATATTATTTTCTTTTTTGATGCTCAGAGTAGTCTCTAATTGTATAGAAACAGTTATTCAGCAGAAACGAATCTCCTTGGCTCTTGAACATTTGAATTGATTTAAATCATATAATGTCTTCAGACAATGTGCTGTAATAATGTATGTATGAGATGTGAATTTCTTGTAATGAGCAGTTGATACTGACACTGGATGAGCATCATTACCATCTTCATCACGATTAATAGTAAATGTTCTATCATGCTTCCTTTTGTGTATTCTTGTCCCCTCTTTTGGTATTTCTCAATTACTAAAACAGTACTTTTTGCTTTAAGTTTTTTAAATCTCTTCACTTATTATCTTGTCTCTTTTTAAAATTTTCAAAATTGATTTAAGATATCTCATTTGGAAAGATATGTTTATTTTTCTGTCTGTTTTTATATCCATGTTCCACTCTTACAAAATTAAGGTGGGTTTTGCAACAACATTATGTCTCCATATTCATATTTTGGATTTGCCTTTTAATGCATCCTTTCTTTTGTTGTATTTTGTTATCTTTGATTCTGTTTCTCCATCTGTTAGTGATATCTTATTCTTCAAATATGTGAATGTATTAATTAATTCAGGAATTTATTTATCAGAATTTTATTATTACTCCAGCAAAGGAAATTACATACAAAATATTATTCATCATGTGAGTGAACAATAACTAATTTCCTACAAACACTGCATATTGCATAATGAATACAAACCTTTCGGTATATTAGTAGGCAATGCCTATAAGCACTAACAAATAAATTACTCATTTAAGATTTCAGTATATTTGCTATATTGCTATATTCAGTATATTGAAAAGAAATAAAGTTTATGAAATAGTCTATATCTGATTTTATTCCCTCCATCATTCAAAAAAATAATTTAATTTGTAGAAATATATTTTAATTTTGCAAACTTAAATAATGTAAAAATATAAAATAACTTGTTAATAAGCTGTGAGTTTATAGGCACAAAAAACTGTAGAAATAGACAGGCAGATATGGTTAAAAGGCATTTAAAAAGGCACTATATATTTTTCTTATAATTTTTTATGTTTTTTTGTAGAAAGCTATTGAAGTAAATATAATATGGTATCATGGTATATTCATGCATCATACATCATGGAATATTGGTGAACATCATTGTTCTGACAAATCCTCATAGAAATCCTTTCTTTCGTTGTTGGGCAATTTGAACAAAAAAGGCTGAATCACAGTAGCTACATATTTGCTTTATAATAAATAGCAAGCTGATACTCTAATGTTTCACAGTATGATCTTTTTTGTCACATTTAATTTAAATATAAGTGAAAATATTGTATGATTTGTTCTAATTGCCATGCGTAACAAAAATATTGTTACTAGTGGTGTTAAGAAGCACTTACTTTCCCACATATCTAAAAGTATATTTCAAAATTTGCAATTTTCAAAAATTCAGAGAGTTTAACATAAATGAGACCTTCACTACTCTCTTAAATGTCCCTTGTTCTATCCCAGGGAAAAATTAAAGCAATCATTTTTGGTGATTTTTAAGAATTTTGTTTATAATTTGCATGAAATTCAAGCAGAATTCTTAAAAAAAAAACACTCAATAAAAAAACATACATGGCTTTTATAAAGTTCTGATTTTTTAGAACATATTTCATTTAAGACAAAAATGTCTGTATCCAATATTGTACTTTTGCAATGTTGACATTTGTAATTTTCAAAAATAGTGTTTGTGAAAAATGTAGCCAATGCAAATATTTATACTATTCTTTGATACATATGAGGAGAAAAAATTAAGAAATTTGGAGCCATTTTTGAGTAAAAAATTATTTAAAATTTCAAAGTAAGAAATAACCACCAGCAATTTTGCAAGCATTTCATAATACGAAATACTTGCACTGTGGTGGAAGTAAAACGGAACATAGATTTGTTGGTAGTTGTTCCATTTCTCTGCAATCTGCAGAATAAAATTGAAAGTCATACAATTTTTTAAAATTTTTGATTAAGAACAATTGTATTTTGATCAATAAGTAGAAGAATAGGCAGCATTTGACCACTTAAATGCCAAATATGCATTTATTAGTGAAATAGGCATATTTAGGCACTTCATAATATAAATTCACATATTGTACTGCTAATGCCTCAAAATGATTAAGTAGCTTAAAATATTGTGTTTTCCATTAAAAGAAAAAAATTGGCAAATAGGCAAAACTCTGCAGCTTATTCATTAAGCATATAAATTAAAATTATTTGGAATTTAACAACAAAGTAATGATTTAGAGCAGAATTTTAATAATAATTCTGATAGTTGTGAAAAATTATTTATAATGCATAATTTTGAGTATGTTCAATTATGAAGGATCAAATGTGTCAATAATTTAGAGTTTGACAATTGCATCACCTAATTATTCTCAAAGATGAATTTCTGAAAGAACATGGAGTTTCTTGTTTCTTTGTAGTTTGTGTTTGGCAGTATTATTCTGACCCTGCCCTCTAGTGCCCAGTCATAATCATGACAACATGTTGACAAAAAGATTTTGCCTTTCTACACTAGTCACAAATGCACAATCAAGGAATCTTAGAAGATACTCCCAAAGTAGTGGGTATGGTTACCTGTGGGAACCACCATTTGATGCTTAATGAAGATTAGCAGCTTAAGCTTCCTTGTTTCCAAACACTCCTCCTTTTATCATTCATCCCACCATCTGCCCACATAATTGCCACCATCCCATCCCACCAATTGCCACATAATTTCATTCTCAGTAGTGAAACATGGATTCTGAAGCAAAGAGACAAAAAAAGAATTGTAGCAGCACAAATGAGATATTTGAGATTAATTTTAAAAGTTTCAAGGAGAGAAAGGATAAGAAATGAAAATATCCAGAAAACACTAAAAGTCATTAATATTGTCTCAGAAATTGAAAACTTCCAAAAGATATGACAATAACATCCCAAAAGAATGAACATTGAACATTTTCCCAACCAAAGTCCTTCAATACAAACCATGAGGAAGAAAAGACTAGCAGACTAAGAATGTGTTTGGAAGACCAAGAACACCGCAGAAGCAACTGAGGGAATATTGATAAATCAAGGAACAGGTCAACAGACCTATGATTTAAAGATTCATGATGATGATGATGATTATGTTGGTGATAATTTCATTCTTGTTTACTCCACAGTATGTATCTTGTTTGCATCATAAAATTAAAAAAATGAAATGGTAGGTACATAAATTAAAATTCCACAGGGTACACTCTTCCTTAAATGTTGCTCCCAAATACTGCATGAAAGAGAAACTCTTATGTTCTAAAATATTTTCTATGAACCATCATATTTTCTGTGAACCACCATTATTAGATCTTAATTTTCTGATTATAAATTATTTTCAATGTTTTCTCTGCATTCTTTTACAGGAAACCATTTACTGCATTGTGGGTTGCCTGGCGATGTTGGTAGTGGGTGTACTCATTCTAATGATTTGGTTAAAAGAAAAAGATGCCCCTTTATTTCCTGCATTTCTTGCAGCCTTTTGTTCATCAGTAATATTTGTGTTGGATACCATTTTCCGATTCAAGAGAGAAGATGAAATGATTGAGACATCTGAGCAACAAAAGTAGAACAAATACAATTTCTTCAGCATGTTTAGCCTATATTAAATATTTTGATGGCAACAGCCATTATTTTGTGTAATGATGTTTATTAAATATACTTATTATATATTCAAATTTCAATATTTATTGCACTGAATAACTATAACAAAATTAATAACAAACACTAGTTGTCATAGTATAAGTTATAAGTGTGAATCTTTGTAATACTATATTAGATCCTATTACTATTTTATTATTTGCTTTCATCATGATTTAATTAAGTATGAGAAATGAAACAAAATCAAACAAACTGATTTTATTTATTCATTAAAAGTAGAGCCGAAGTCAAGTGCAATCCAAAATTGGACCAAAACCAAGTTATTCCTTAATACAAGAGTTAATTACATTTGTTATTTGAACATTTTTAGTGCCTAAAATTTGCTGTATTTCAACCTACCAAAAAATTTTCATTTGTTGATTTTCCCCAATTTGGTCTGCAGTCTATGTTTTCAATTGTACCTCTGGGAATTTTAGATCAATGAATTTTCAATGACATTTTAACTTAAATGAATGAATGAATTCAATCAGTAACTTTGCCTGAAATACAGTTGTCTTAATTCAAAATAAGATTCATTTTAGTATTTACATTATCACAGGAAAAATTATTTTCAAGCAGAGAACAAAAGAACACCGTCCAGTGAAGGCAGGTTGAGATTGTGTACCAAACAGGTTGAAAATACAAGAACTAAGAGACAACTTATAAAAACAAGCATGCCAATACAGCACTTTATATGTAAAGCCTGCTATCCAAAATCCAATACCAACATCAAATAACTCAATAAACTTCTATTGAATGATGACTATACAGTGATATTGACTTTACAGTGTTAAAATGCACAAGATTCACAAATCAGGATTAATTGCATCATTTGATAATTGAATTTCAATTTTTGATATACTATTTGAAGAAACGTGTTATGTACATTCTTCTTTTAAATATATTTCTTTGTTTGAGTAATATTTGTCCAAATATTTAATTTAAAAAAACTATTAAATGGACAAAGCCTTTGTAGAATTTGGGAATTATTCTCGGGTTAATTTGTGTTTACTTTAATGATAAATGATCTAACCAACACCACTCTCTTCAAATCTCTATGCAGATGGTGTTACATAGAAAATGCAATTCAGCAATAGAGAACAACTAAAAATTCAGTTAATTGAAACTGATGGTGCACAACACTGATTTTCAGTCAATGAATAATTCAGTCTATTGAATGATGCAAAAACTGGAATAATGCACATCTGTCTCAATGAAATAATTATATGAGTCGTCATTGCCAACAATATTGTTTATTACAATAGCAACTTTCGATGGCTTCGCCATCATCATCAGTGGTAATGATGGCTAAGCCATCAAAAGCTGCTATTGTAATAAACAATATTGTTGACTCGTATAATTATTGCCAACAAAAATTCACCACAATACCAATATACAGTCTCAATGATTAAGCTAATGAAACTCAGAAGGTCACTTAATTGAGATTTCAACTTGACACCATGCACTCTTGGAAATTCCTCACAAGTAAGAGTTTGTACATTCAAAATTATCCTGTGCTGATCACCGTTTAGACAACTGAGGTCATGTTTCCCTTAAGATACTCTTGAACTGTTCCAAAGTCGCTATCATGGCCTTTTATTGGGACCTTGCTTGGCATGTTCATAATAGAAATTGAAGTATGTAGCTTTAGGCTGAATAAAAATAAGTGCACCATGCAGTCCATTAATTTGGTTAATCTCGAATACTCACTGTCTACAAACTGTAGATATCTATAAAGCTTCTTCTTCATTAATTCATGATCCCATTAAAATACATATTTCAAACATCCACAAACTCTACTATGTATAAATTGAAACTAACAAGAAATTTCCCAGAAGCACATTAAGATTACTTGAGAAAATTTATTTCTGTAACCTGTTTCACAGCAAGCTTCCAACAACTGTGCAAAGTACTCCAATGATAAAAGATTTTTTTTAAAACTAGATATAAAAAACTATTATATTTCGTAAATGATTCTTTGTTAGAT